GGACAACACCTTTAAAGAACGGCTACAGTCCTGCTGAATTGTTGATGGGGCGTCGACTACAGTCAACCTTACCTTTAGCAATTTCACTACTTCAACCAAAGCTAATAGAGAAGGAGATATTGGAAGAAAAAGAAGAGAAAAGAATAGAAAGACAGAAAAAGGATTATGATCGGAGGCACAATGCTCATGAATTGAAACCAATACATCCGGGTGACAAGATATGGATAACTGATAGGAAGGCTGTTGGAACTGTACAGAGAAAAGCTGAATCACCAAGGTCATACTTTGTTAAAGAAGGCAAACAAGTGCTTCGACGGAATAGGAAACATTTGATTCCAGGATCTAAACTACAGATTCCACCGCTAAACGATGATTTAGAGGAAGCTCTTTCAGAAAGAGATAACAGAAGGAGCTTACCAGAAATAACGGATCCAGATCCTACAGTGTTAACTCAGAAGAAGGATGTATCTTCAAAAACTGTTGTGACTCGCTCTGGAAGAATTGTGAAAGCTCCCAATAGACTAAATCTTTAAAGGGGGGAGTGTGGCATCAGCCAGATTAACTGTAACTGTGTGTTAACTGTTTAGTTTTAGTTTCAGTTTGTATTTATGTTTAGTTTCAGTTTGTGTTTGTGTATCTCGTTAAGTTGTTATTAAATGTGTTTGCGAGATGCTAGATCCTGCTCATTTATTTAATATGTACTGAAATAATACATAACAACACATATATACATATATAAACAATATTTGCACTAATTCACATTGCACTTTGTTCAACTAATATTTGCACTTCAACCTGACACCCTTGGTAAGGGGTGTCAGGTTGATTTACTACTTAATTTATGTACTACTTACGAAAACGTTTGCTTCATCTTGCTCAAAAGCATCATTATCAATATCCAAATTGTCTTCAGCATCTTGTTGTATAGCATCATCATTAATAACCATCAAAATATCTTTTTCATCAGAACATCCAGCCATGGAAATATCTTTATTCTCTTGGTTCTACAAATAGATACAAAAGAATTTTTTCTTAAACTGAAACAAGTCAGACAGCAGAAATTTTTAATTCCAGAAAACAAGTGCTCAAAAATACAATCAAAAGATTTCTTCTCCTAATTTTTAAAAAAAAAGAAATGCAAAGATTAAAAATTTTAATAAACTTTAGCGTTTCCATTACAAAAAAAAAAAAATTGAAATTGTTATTGAAAATTTCTAAATTTGATACTGATAAATTTGATGTGAAAGGATAGAAAACTTATTTGATTATTTATTTATAATAAAACTTTGAATTTTTGTTAATCCTATTAATTTTTTACAAATTAGTATTAAATAGTTTAATTAAAGAATAAAACTTACTTTAAAGCTGATATCGGCATCGCTCGAGTCACTATTAGTTGATTCACCGTAGTTGGAAGATGCTGTTGCTTTAACTTGTTCGTTTGAAGTAGTCTGAAAATATTTCCTAGCTTTACGACATTTCGTGCTTCGAGGAATTTTTCGATCTGCTGGAACACAGTTCGGCTCTAAATATCGCTTATAATATCGATTATAAGACATACTTTATGAGTTATATTTTATTTCAGCTAACACATAAAGACGCGATAATAACATTAAGAATTTTTGGAAAACAACTCGAGTATCGCTTTTTTTAGGTTTAACGTAGGTGGTGATGATGACGGGCTCTTTTGGAGCTCTTGGCTGTTTCTCACTTATAGCTTGCTTATCAATTATGGTAGTGAGAAGTGAATGGTTGGATCTATTTAACAGTATATGGATAGCCTTTTAAGAATTGAAATTTAAGGCTTAAAATTCATGATCATCTGAGGTGTCAGTGGCATACATAAACTCAGGTGTGCCTCCTGCAGAATTTATAAATGCGCCTTATCTTTGAATTTACAGATTTTTTTAAAAAACATAATGTGAAACAAGAACACAGTGAAGAGACACTTCGGCACTTATAATCATTCATTTTATTTTACATTATATATTTAATTTAAACAATTTCAATGTTAATTAACAAGGAGTTAGTATTATTGAGATCAGAAGTTGGATTTTAGGTTGGTAGGTATTTTATTTACATCGTACTAGAGCTGCACAATAGGTTATTGACCAGTGGCCCCCATCCCCCCAAAGCTCTTGGACAAATTCTAAAATCCCCCTCCTAGCTATTCGTTTCATTTAGTGTAAAAATCCCCCCCCAAGCTTTAAGTGGGCGCATCGTGCTTCCACCTTTACCCCTGATGGGGGCCCCTGTTATTGACTACAGTTTGGGAAACATCCCTGAGGATGATCCGATGACATGCCATCGCAATTTCGATCCTCTGCAGAAAAGATGTATCCTCTGCTTTAGTAACCCAATGACCTGCGAACGAAGTAGAACGCTTTACGGTAGAATAACAGCTTAACGAGGATTGGTACCGTGCACCCTTTGTCCCTATACAAGTTGATCAAAGTTGTTACCCAACCTCTTATTTTCCGCAGTCAGCTGTGTTTCACTGAGAGCCGTGTCTTTACTATCAATCCACTGCGGAACTAACGGATTTCAGAAAATTACACTTTTACCGACTAACCACTTTGGAATGAAATTTATCTTCTACATATGAGAAAAGAGCTACTATCTTACAATAATTGTATCAAAGTTTCATTAAGGGTTGTTTTCAGTTGCAAAGTGACTAAAATATTCTTATAAAATTATTTTTATCATAATTCATAGGATGCACAACTTTTTAGACTATAGAACTGCGTAACCAAGTATTTAGTCATTTAAAAGTAAGCATTAGTGTTTCAGACACAAAGTCTTTGTATCAGTCAACTTAGTGACATATTTGCATAAAATTAAAATAAATTAAAATTTTCAAAGCGAGTTTTTTTTATTATCCAAAAAAAAAAAAAAGGAAATATAATAGTCAGAAAATATAATAGTAGTATTATTACATCAAAAGATGGTGGGCTGCAGGTTGTGCGATTTTATCACACAGTGTCTTATTTCCTAATGGTGCATCCTCAAACCTTGTACGCGTCAGTCCCCAGAACCAAGTTGTGTTCGAAGTAAGGGGACAGTATCCTCGACTATGTCAATCTTCATTTATTAATAAAAAAATTATTAATAAAATTAACACAATTATTAATAAAAAAATTAACTATTAATGCTAAAAGAACAATTAATAACCATAAAAAACAAGCTAACAATAAATAACAAGCACCTAACTGGAAGTATAAATACAATGACTTAACTGCAACCGATTAAATGACCATTTAATTTTCCAAGCTATTTTCTATGTAAAGCGTTCTCAAACATTTATTTTAATCTTTCTTCTATTTATTTTAATCTATTTGAGCTTTCAATTCGTAACTATGTTTGCTTACGTATATTTTTTAAATGATAAGCAATTTTCTAAGGTGCCAGTAGGTTTCATTAAGAAGTTCGACAAAGAAACCTATCTTGCCACAAACATTTACAAAGTTTTTTGGAGTCGGCATATCCATTCGCTCCAAAACGAATTCGATGAGAAGTGCCTCTCTTTATTGAGCGAACTCAGAGACCCTCCACCTAAGCATTCGTGGAAAGTGTCTCAAGGAGAAGGGTTTTATTTTGCCCACATTTTACGAATAGAAGGTAAATAAATCAATATTTTCTATTAAAAAAAACATAATAATCAAGAGATTATATCAAAGTGTTGCAGTTATATTATGTTTCGTAATTTTTTTTTTAGATTCCATCGATTCACTCATCACTAGCCTGAAGCTGAAAAGACCAGCAATCCCTGTTACACAGTGTGAGGAGGAAATTTCCACCACAGAGGATGAAGTTGCGACTTTGCATATTGAAAAACAAAACAAAAAGCAGGAAGTAGGTGTTTATAATCTTTTTAGTATTTGTGTTTTTATTACAAATTGAAGTTATGTTTTGATAGTAAAAAGATAAATATTTTAAAAATAAGTTAGCATCAACGTGTAACAACTACTGTATCATATTGCATTTGCTTAGATGTAGAAATAAAGATTCTACAGATTTATATTTTGAGTTAGAAGTAGTGTTTTTGTTAATTTGTGAAAAAAAGTAATTTTGAATGAATGAAATGGGTACTTGAGCATACTCAACATTCTGGTGACCTGCTATGCAGTTTTTGAGAGTTAACTCAATTTGGTGAATGACAATGTGTTATGTTTATTGGAGTAAGGATTTCATTAATATGAATCATTAGATTAGACAGCACAGGGTAAAAATTGTTTTCACAAAAACCTTCAAATGTTTGATAAAAGAATAAATGTGTAAAGAACATAAGATGAAATAATTAAATTTAAATCAACAACATTGGAATGCCTTATAATATAAATAAATACAATATAAAACTGTTAGATAAAGAATTCACCAATGAGAAGGAATATGAGCCAAAAACATGTTATTGTAAAATATGATGTAAAAATAGACTTGACTAGCATAAAGACTAAAACTTATTTCAGTAGACAAACTAAGATTGATGAACCTACAGTTACCCAGATTTCCTTGCCAAATCGGGTGTTATTTTTAATGGAATATACTATTACTGATATTTCAATACTGTAGTAAAAGCACATTTGGATATATTCACCTTTTAGGATGCTGAGATGAAGCATAAAGAAAATGCTGGCAAAAGAAAAAGAGCGAAGGATATTTTTGAAGAGGCAAAAAGGTCACGAAAAGCGATGTTCAGTAAGCTAGGTAAGTGTCTTAAATAATAATGCAAGATAGCTTTTACATTTCTGAAGTAGCTTCAAGGCAGTGATCAGAACTTATGGTTACATAACTATTGAAGTCTCCAATTTTTTATTTTGAGTATAATGTATTAATAAGAGGTGATATTTATTGTTTAACTCATTCTTTGATAGCTTTAACTTGCTATGTTAACTTACTTTATAACCTGTAGTAATAACTTTATTTTAAAGTAAAATATTGAGATTCATATGATATGTGAGTCATGCGTTTGTTCAAGGTACCACCAGCATGGTCAACTATCAGAAGGTTTTTAAATAATAAATACTAAATAACAAGCAGAATATTTTATTTTTTAAAAAAAATCATTAATATTACAAAGAATGTTATTAGTTATATATGAAAAATCTTTTATGTATATTCTTTACTGAAATATAAAAATATAAGCTTGAAACTGGACCAATTAATCTTGGTTCCCTCTGAATTTCGGAATGTAAATTTATACGGAATAATTTTCATATAACACTATCAAACGAATTTTTTAGTTCTTATGTTGTTGAGGTGTCGTAACACAGTGGATAAACATAGAATTGCGTAGTGACGTGGGAGAATAATGAAAATGCATAATATGGTAACACAACGTTGTTAAGGTTTTATTCTTTGTCTCTAAAAATGTTTTATGTTGAAAATTTCAGATTTAGAAAACGAAACTGATGGATTTGTAACTTCTGACTCGGACAATGATCCTGAAGTGATACCAAATACCATGTTCAGGCAATTGAAAGCCTCTTATGATATATTGGAAAAAGAGAAGGAAAAAGCAGACAAAAAGATCCAAAATCTGGAAAGAAAAATTCTTCAGTTGGAACAACAGGCGGAGAATGCTGACAACAGCGAAGTTGTGCAATTGCGCAGTTTAAATAGGCAGCTGCAGGAAAGACTTTTATGTTTGCCAACTAGTCAAGGTAAGCTTAATAACGTTCATAATATTAGCTCGGAGTAAAACCAAGCAAATTTTTTTTTTGGTTTATTTTATTACATTATTCAAGGTTCTTGCAATCTTATTTTTATCTCAAAAACATCAAAAGCTCCCCATTCTTATTCTAAAGATTAGAATACCATTTTATAGTATTCTACTGAACTTTATTAATTAGTTCTATTAAATTTTGACAATGATTTGTGTAAAATTAAAACTCTTATATTTAAAAGCATCCATCTGAGTTTTTAATGTAAAAATCCTTTTCATTATCAAATTTAAACACTAAAATCTTGTGAGATTTATTACTAGTCATGTTTTGATTTTTCTTACTATAAAAGCCCTTAAAAGGTGCTTTTTCCATTGGGTGTTTTTAAGAACTGCTTAATTTTCCCTTTTTGAAAGTGAGATTTTTTTTTCTTTACCATTTTTTCGTTTTCTCCACATATTATGCAAAAACGGGCTTTCCCCTTTGTTCTAATCAACATTTTCAAAATTCATTCAACTGCAATCTATTTCGGCGTTCTGTAGCCAATCATTTGTATCACCATTTGTAAGTATGAAAGAGCCAATCATTTTACATGTTTGATGAAATAATTGCGTGTCCGCGTGTGCATCGACTGAGCTGGGTTTGGTGAGATTATTGCCCTCTCGTGTGCAACTCTGCTGCATTTTGCAAGATATTCTGAATGTCAGGCTTCATTTTCCACCCTCTGATATCAAACCGAAAAATTTCTTGATAATTTTATAATGGCTAATATAATCAAGAGAAGAGCGCTTTGTCAGAAACTAGTTATTTTATTATGATCATGTAAAGTCTTTGAAAATTATTTTGTTAATGTATATAGTGCTTTAAAATTTTTTTGAGTACTTAAAAGGTGCTTATTTTTTGTAGAAAGATTAGGCTATGCACCATATTCAAACTATTTTTCTCAAAACTTGAATGTTTTACATGAAATTTTTAAGAAAGTGTAACATTTTGTTACATGTCTGAATTGTAATTGTGACGAAAATTTAAAAATTAAACAAATGTTTTCCTGAATAATTTTAACTTCCACTATTTAATAGTTTATATTATTCAGTGTGAAGTTATTCTTTTTATTCAGTTATTTTTTGAATTTTTTTTTTTTTTAATTGCATCAAAAACAAATTTGTATCTTGTTTTCTATTTAGTATTATGAATTTTCCCAAAATTCAAAGGTTGTTATTCTTTTACAAAATTTAATTATAACCTATAACATAAATATAAAAGATATACCAGATATTTTTCTTGATAACATATTTAAAACACACAAAGAACCTTTTATTGAAAATGTCTATGTAAATTGATACTGTATTGAGGATGGTAATATCAGTCATTAGTATACTAAATGAGTATTTGCATGCATGCATTTTTTTCTTTTTCCTGGCATATGAAATTTGAATTGACAGAAAAGGTTATATTTTTCATTCCTTTAAAAAGTGAATTAACACTTAATACCTTCTTGTATAACAATTAAATTATGGTATATTTTTTAGGAGAATGCTCTTGTACAGCTGGAAAATTGCCTGAAATTCAAGAAGCAAGTGATTCCGAAACAATGGAGGTATGGCAAAATTAGTACTCTAATAAATTTGTTAACTCTTAAATTATTGATGCTGAGTGGTTTATTGATATCGACATAAGTCTGTCATCGTTTGCTTTACTTTAAAAAAGTACAAGTAATTTAGATATTAATTCAAACATATTTAAGATATTAAGGATTAAGTTAATCATTATAATAAATTTAAAATTGTCTAAAAGCAACAATAAAGAATATAAGCAAATTATTACTTTAAAATCGTGAAAAAAATTATTTTTTTTAAAATCAAACTTTTCTCTAAATTGCTTTGGTCATTTTTAGTTTCTTCCTTTGTGTTTATTTTCTTCTGATTTTTATCTTTCTTGTATCCTGGGAGAAAAATATAGGTTTTTGTAGAAGAAATACCAACCATGGCTCTAAGTTAAATTTCTTTCCCTTAATTGTAACAAAATTATTGACTAATGATTGGATTGCTTAAATTTACAGGTCTCATAATTAATGGTGGTCTGTTCTACGCCCACTAAAATGAGATTTGGATAACCATCAACTGATTATCAGTGGTCCCTTGGCTCAGCATTCAATGCAAAGAAATTAAGCTGTTTTGGTTTTCTGATTAACAGTTTCATATCAGGGGTCTGTTTAGAAGAAATTTGGGTCCGTTAACGGATCCTTCACAAGATGATTTTTCTTTTGATCGGACCCTTCACAAATTTGTTTATCTTCATTATTGTTTTGTTCATCAAATAAACCCTTTCCAGGTGCAAAAGTAAGAAAGACAGATGTAAACGAATTAAGTTTTGTCTTCGGCAGGCAATTCTTCTATTATTCATCCAAAATGAATCTTCTGCGTTCAGCAATATAGGCTAAATACCAAATATTTGTGTGATGCATCTCCAATTTAGAAGCAGCAATTGCTGTTTATTTTTGAAAATTTAAATTCTTTTTTGTGATTTTACAGTGCTGAACATAATCTTGTATCTATTTACAATTTAAAAACTCCTTGAAAAATTTTTTTTTTGCAATAACCAGACCCTATTTGCACAAATTCATAAAATCAGGACCCTGGTTGAACGAATGTGATTAATTTTTTCACAAAAACCGGACATTTCACAAAATGTCTGGACTGACCCCTGCATATAATGGTTTGTGTTTGTATCATAAAATTGCATATTTCATCATAATTGTGACACTCTTTTTTTTCTATCTCTTTACGTGATCTAAATTAGCATTTTTCTTTGGTTTTTAAAATAATCATAGCTATGCTTTTCTTACAGGTTGAACTTGGAGGAGGAATTTCGATCAACAGAACAGTATATAAAGAATTGTTTCAGTTAGATCATGTGCGGAAATTCACCAAGAGTCTTGCTGTGGCAATATGGGGAAGTGCTACATTAGCTGGTAGGTCCGTAACTGGAAAAGTCTGCAAAAACAGAAACGGGCCTAAGAAAGCAGTTTCAGGTGCTACCCATCCCCATCCACAACAGGACTCAAAACCACCTCTCACACCTGAAAAGTTGGCTGTGATTTCAGGTAATAACCATTGAGTGTGGACTAAATGTATAGAAGTTTAAGGGAGGGCAACCTCCAACTGACGAACTTCAATTTCACGATTCCACAAGTATATACATTTTATTTAAACATGTTAAAGTATTATTAGTACAAATAATATTTTACTTTTTCAGTGAACTTGTGCATTTTGTTATCTCTTGAACCTTTTACCAATAAATAAAAGTTTATTTTGATTAAAACATTTTATAAATAAACATAAAGATAATACTAAAATAGTCAGTAATATTTTATCATTACTCAAAGAGTATGTTGTTAATTAATCTAAAGTACTTCTTTTATGAATTTGAAGATGTACACTGTGCAAAAGAAAAATCTCCTTAAACGAAAAAAAAAAATTGAAAAAGAGTTTTTTTTATACTTGAGAATTTTTATGTTGTAAAAACTACATATTGCCATTTTTTTTATCAGTTATCTGAAATTTTATCTCAGTGTTGATAGTATAAGCAAAAAAAAGAAAATAGTTATCAAATCACTTTTCTTAAAATATATCCTGCAATAAAAAAAACTGTAAAAATGCTGCATCCCAGTATACATCTTGTTTTTAATCCCCAAGTTTCCATTTACTAAAAAAAAAAAAAAAAAAAATTGGTTAAATTTTTAATTTTGCTGTTTAACTTATATGCAATTTTTTTAAAGTACTAATTAAAAAAAACTGCAGATAATTGTTCCTTCTACTTTAATAATGCAAAATTTTATGGAGAAATGCTATATAATTGTTTGAAATAAAGATTTAATTTTCTGTGGTCATATTTTAAATACTAACAAGATTAAAAAAAGTCATTTTGCTTGAAATTCGTTAAATTTCTATTATGTCTTTAAAAAATATGGTTTGTTCCTTTACCGAAGAACCGATCATGTTCGGCTTTTACACATTTAGACTGTTATTAGTTCATCTAAAGCTAAATTATTTTTGCATTTTAACAAGTTGAACTGAGCTGAAAGGTTTCCATAGCATTGTTTTTTTAAAAATTTGTTAATTTTTATATAATTTTTTTTTTTACTTCATATCTTATTTTCATTTCAGGTCAAATGAGAGAATTTCTGATCAAAAAAGGTGAGAAGTCGTCAGAAATTGAATCTGCAATAAAACACAGAAATCGATATTTATCAGACAAGATCCAAGATATTTGTGGTAATGCTGCAAGAGTGGAAGCTTACAATAAATCTTTTTAAACTGTCTTTCTTTGTCTTCTTTTGTATAAATACTTAATCAC